GAATCGCATATGATGTGTGGTCAGGCGGGCGGCTCGAATTGGGTTTGGGTGGCTTTGGGATTGGGTTGCGGTGAATTTCTATTGTTTGCTAAGCGTTTCGGCTCGCTTTGAGCCACGGGCCAAACGGATCTAAAGATGGCCGCTTTTTTGTTGGGCATTAAGTGCGGTCCCGGAGCCTTTGAAGTGGACACTCATTGTCATAAATTTTCACAGTGCTCTGAGCAGAAATTTCGTCTATTTGGAGATGGAACAATCGACACTTAAATCGCCTATCAGGCGATATTTTTAGATAAGGGAGCTATAGAGAAGATAAGCTTTTTGTGATGAGCTGTGGCACATAAAGTTTCTCGTCAGCAAGGGCTATTGAAAATCAAGATAGAATAGGAAGGATCGGAATATAAGAAACTTCCTGTCAATAGTTTTTGAGCGAGCTGTGAAAAAGCTATAAGCGAACAAAATTGTAAAACCATTTTAATAAAATAAGAAGAGTTCTAAAAACTAATTTCAAGTACAGTCAATGTTTCTTCAATGTTTCTTTTTGCATAAATAAAAAAGTTCAAAATATGCAGTGCTGCTTTGATGGTTATCGAATGTTATGTTACGTAATTAATGAATGGAACGAGAAGGAGAATACAAGGATTTGAAATTGATTGACAAATGGAGATATTTTACTGTTAATAATCAGTTTCCAACTATTAGTTAGCTCTCGATGAAAACATCTTTGAGATGACGCTGACGCAACTTAAAGGATTTCTATTTGTGCAACAATAAATCTCGTTTAATTGTTTGCTACTGAATAATTTATCCAGTAATTAATTTACAATAATGAGTGTAACATTCAATTAACACAATGTACATTTCAAAATAGATTATATGTGTTGAGTTGCACAACGGCAGACTTTAAGCCAGTTAAAATAGGTTATTTCTCTGCCTAAATTCCATTTTGTTAAATGCCACAAAAGCTGCACACTATTTGCCAAGGCGCTTCAACTTTCATTGTCAAAATACAAAATCAACACGTAAAATTCCAATTAATTGCGCTTAGCTAAATAAATCGTTTCAAAGCAAAACACAAACTGATCATAAAACTTAATAGGCAAAAACACACAGACAGACAGGATAATTGGCCATGTATGCGTGTGTGTAAACACAGCCTTTTTCTGGCTATTTGCTTATCGATAAATTGCAATTTGTGTAGCCAACCAACAACGCCCAACCTGCTGCTGATTAATAAGAAAGCGGCAACAACAACTGGCACAACAACAACTATTAGTAGCTGGCAGTTTCTGTGAAGCCTGGTTCTCTGCGGGCATATTAGCCAGCCTGAGCTGGGCGTCAAGTTGGGCTGCTCACATAGCAAACGCATAAATTCAATTGAAAGTGCTTAGCTTTGATTTTTGCCAAGTCATAAAACCGACTCCCAGCGCCAGCCCCAACCCCTGCTCCATCCCCTCTGCACAGCCTTTGCGTACGTGTTAGTTTCTGCGCCGCTTTTGGACATTTGGACATTTGGCGTCTGGGTTAAGGCTACGTGCCGCAATTCAGCGTATGACGTTATCAGCGCGCTGTCCCGGCTCATATTGATAAATGCTGGCCAAAAACTATGCCCAGCCACGCAACTAGAAACAAACATTTAGTTATGAGAAATCCAAATTAAGTCACGTCGCGCCAATCGCGCACAGCAGTTTGAGAAAACTCTGGCAATGTTCTGGCAATCTTAACCCTATCGAAATGCCATTTCAATGCAAATGCAAAATGGCAAAATTAATGATGTTCATTTCCTGCACCCATTACGCCCAATCCCCTCCATCCCCAACACCAATCGCCCTGCCACAGCCATCATTTGATTCCGCACAGCTTACAAGAGAATTATGATCCAGAAACAATAGACTTTTATGCATCATACCGAAGAGTCCCTGCTCCTGCCCCTGCCTCTGGCTGCCACCGCCGTTTGCAACAAGATTTTCGCATTAAGTTGCCAGCACAGTTGCCACACCCCTCGCCGGCCCACTACAATTCCCATTGAAAGGCCATTACCATTTTGGGTAGCCCGGGTCTAGCTGCAGTTTTTGGTTTTGGGGTGCAGCTGCAGTCGACGTCGTTTCTTTTGTTTGCTGCTTGGCAATTTTGTATGCACTTTTAGCCAAGTTACAGACCCAACCCCCTGGCTGCCCCCTCTCATGACTGGCAACCCCTCTTCCGCTATGTTGTTTACATTGTCACAGTTGCCGCTTTTTCTTTGCATTGCAAGTTGCATTCACAGTTGGCTTTTATGTTTGCATTTTATGCGTCTGACTCCCAGTTCCATTCTCGGTTCCATTCCCCGTTCTGGGCTCGGTTCCATTTTCATTCCCAGCTCGCTGGCTGCATTTGCTTAATTGCCTGAGCCTGCTCTAAGAATATTTCCCAAGCAATCTTAAAGTTATTATTTTATTTTCGATAGAAGCTGAAAGTTTCTCAGCTTGTGGCTGGAGAAAGTTCAGTCAGCGAATTGCAGGCAAACACATAAAATTCCCTTGGATTTGCGAGTTAGCTGATATGCTTCTCATTGAAATGCGAGACTAGGAATGTTGAATATTTTTCTAAAGATGCGAAACTAAAAAAAAATAAATGTTCTTCACAGTTTTAGTTGTAGAAGTTCGTAGGATCCGTCTTATCATGGAATATCTGATATAAATATGTTTCGAGGGTACTTTTTTATTAAGAAAATCTTTGTAACATAAGAAAGGCAGCTGGAATGGGTAATTTAAATATATAAAGGATCGTGTATTTCCCTTTAATCTTTTTTTCACAACCTAACTTTAAACGCATCCGCAACAGAAAAATATTCGCCAAAATCTGAACACCGAGCAAATAAAACTAATTAAATTTTGCATTCAGTGTGAAGCTAAATGGAAACAATGGTCAACTCGGGCCCGGGCACAATTAATGAGCGCAGCCATTAGAGCTGAGCCGGGGCCAACAAGTTTAGTGGCCAAAACTCCGGCAAGCACCGCAAGTCGGCAACTTGCAGCACCGCAACCAATTGGACAACTGATCCGCTGGCTGAGTAAAAAGTCAAACAATTTGCTGACGACGAAGTCTTTGGGCAAATTTAAAGAAATTACACTTGACACTTTTCAATTAGTGCGCCAAACTTTATTTTAATTGTGACACTAACACGCCGGCGTTGCCACCCAGCGCCAGAAGACGAAGAAGAAGAAGATGAAAAAATCCCCAACAAGTTTTGGCCAACTTTGCGAGGCGACAACTTGCTATAAAACAAAGCTTTGGCCAGAGTTGGGGGCTTGGGAACGACTTTCAGCCACAAAATGTCAAAAGGAAACTTTGCAAGATTAATTACAATTGAAAACAAATGAATGCAAAAACGATAAGCAGCCAAAGGATTGCCCAAAAACCGAGTTGGCACCAACAACACCACCAACGCATTCAGCTCAGCTCGGCAACTTTGCCAATCAAGATAAGAGTGCGGCCGTAGGGACAATGCTGAGGCTGGGGGTGAAAGCCACTTCTAATCAAAAAAGAGGGCGTTGAAACAAATGTTCACACCTACAAAGCAACAGCAACAACATTTACAGCAGCAGCAGCTGGTTGTCCAGTATTTGGGCACTTGAACTTTGGCAAAACTAAACGTAAAGTTTGCCGAGGTTAGCAGGTCCCGAACGCGGTCCAGTTTGGGGCTACTTTATGGCCCAAAGACGTGACTTGTTTAGTTTTTGCTATCTAAGGGGTAGCTCTGCATACCCTGTAGCCAACGGCATAAAGCGTATGCTGGATATGTCTTGGACACTTTTGTCGCCTTTATAGACAATGCTTAATAAAATGTCTGTCGGGACAAATCTGTACGATGAGAAAAATGAAATAATGTAGCCAACGAAGAAGAGGTGATTATATTTTATTATAAAAAATAGGGCATCTCACTGTCGCATATATTCATGCCCAGTTTTGACTCAATTTTGCAAGCTTTTCTTTTTTGGGGCAACCCCTTACATTAACCACATTTAGCAGCTTGACCAGACGAACCCGAAAAGTGGAAAACTGAAACTGAAAAGTTTGCGGCGCATAAATCATGAAATTAATTAATTTTGACATACATTTTGCGCCAAAGTAGCGCCATAAACAATTTTAGTGCTCCTTTACATACATATAAATAGGTACATATATATATATATATATAGCAATACATTTTTTCGGCCGCAACTAAAAGTAAAATCAAGAAGAGCAACAACAAAAGCTAGTAAAAAACTTGCCTTGCGGCGTTTTCCTTGCCTTGCTTGTCGGCAAACTTTTTCGAGTCGAGAATGCCAGAAAAAAAAACATGTATAAAAAAAGAAGAGAAGTTAAGTTTGAAATATGTGCAAAATTCATTCAGTATTTGAAATATGCGCCAGTTGCGCAAGTTTCACCCGCTGCTGCCAAAGAAAAACTTATGCCGTGAGTTTAATATTATTCATGTTCCTAAGTGAGCGTTGAGCGACGACGTCGGCGTCGCCGTCAGCGTCAACGAAAACTTTCCCAAAATGCACTGTTTAATTGCATAATTTGAGACTGAAAAGGGATTTGAGTAGTTACACCTGAAAGTAGCTTGATAGCGGACGGGCAGGAATAATGATTTACTCCCGGGAGTTTCAGCAAATGCACTCACAAAAAGAAATGTCTACTTTAGAGCATATATCTCTACAGATAAAACCGATAAAGATTATTTGGTTTTTTAGCCTTGAATGCTTTGCTGTTTCCGTTAATTGACGCGTTATAATTCGCAGCAAATTTAAGCATCGAGACGTTTGCCAGGCAGGAATCGAAAGTAAAGACGGTTGTTGAAAGAAACAGAAGCTTTTTGAGCAAAGATTTACAGATTATCTGCTCAGTAGCTTGTGCTTCAACATTATTGGCATTTGTATAATGTGAGACATATTGAACTTGAGCTTTGCATCTGTAAAATTTGTTTAAGCAACAATAAGAAAATATTGAATAAAAATATTATAAAATTTGGTACTTACATTGAGAATTAATAATCCCGTACGCGAAGTGTCTACAGAACACCTTTTCTCCTTATGCAGAGTGTATTAAACAAAAAGTATTAATCCCTAGGCAGTTACTAAAAGTAAAGAGAACATTTTTCAAAATTAGTATTATAAAAACGTCTTCAATTCAGTAAGTTATATAAATATACCCAATAAATAGAGTTAAGAAGCAAATATACCTTTAACAAATTCAACCCCAAAGTTAAGTTAAATTAAACTTAAGGCTTAATCACTATCAATACTATTAAACAGTTTTATGTTTATGTATTAATAATAGATGCAATTAGACTAATTAAAATGGCCCACATTATATGCATCTAAGATTTTTTGAGCTCTAAAAGACGACCACATGCAACCCGCAGCCCGAAGACGACACAAAAGAACCCATCGAAAAGCTGACCACAATGAGAGAATGCATTAAGATTGCAATAATTTGTGGCAATTTTTTAATGGCAATGCAAAATATGTGCGCAAGGAATTTATGCTTTATGCCTAAAAGTATGCTGCGATAACAGGAAATGCAGCTGCTGCTCCACACCAATCACCAGATATCCTCACCCTCTCCGCGCAAAGAATTGCGAGAACTATGCGAGCAAACGATAAGCGAAATCTATGGCGAAATGCGAATACTTTTCGGCTTCGAACGGATTGGCAAACTACTTAAGTGGGTAAACGGCATGAGGGAAGGGAGAGACGAAGCAGGGGTGGGGTTTGTGGCAAGTGTGTTTCGGGTGCTGCTTAAACTTCGCCTGCCTCGCCTCGACTTTTTCTGTGTGTGTGTGTGTGTGTGTGCTTGCCGTGGGGCGCTGTGAAAACTTAATCCTTTCGCTGCACAACGGACCAAGCTCAAAGTCAAACAAACAAGACGAAGCGACTGCCAAGGGCCGAAGAGGGGCAGTGCAGTTGCAGGGAGTAGGCGGCAACTAGTTCTTAAGCTGCCACACAACATTTGCGGGCCAAGTATTTAAGCCATTTGCGCTAATGAATGCGGTCGCGCATTTTTAAGCGTACCCAACCGAGTGGGTGGCTCTGGCTGCCGGCTGCCGGCTTTCGTGGTTTGGGTGGCGCCCAAAGTTTTAGCCCGAAAGTTTGCTGCGGCTCGCCGCTGCTTTTAACTTATTCGAAACACGTGCAAAATTATGCTTGCAGTTCTGCCAACCGCTCCCCCCAACCAGACGAGCCACTCGCCTATTTTTATACCCTCAACTCATAGAAATTGTATAAAAGAGGGTAATATGCTGTTGTGCAAATGTAATGTGCATACAGTATATACACATTTTCGATCACGATGACGAGCTGATTGGATCTAAGCATATCTTTCTGTCTATCCGGCTTGTGGACTTCAAATCTGAAATACCTATCTGAATGTTCTTGTATTATATAAGTTCTTGTATACTATGAGATATATGCCTATTATATTTATTTGATATCTCTTAAAATTCCATAGAATATAATAGTAATACATTTTGAAAATAGTTCTCTTAAAGATTCTAATTTAATAGGAAATTATAGATGCTTTAGGCGTGGTATGAAGATTCTGATAAGGCATACACAGATTAATTTGATTATGACTTTTGAATATTTTCCCTCATATCCCCATAATAGCAGACATATTCGTAAGCGTGTATGTATGCACTTACGTATGCCATATTTAGGCCCTTACAATTTTATAAAGATCGGACTATCAGAACTGAAGTTAAACAAGAATGCATTTCTGATGGAGTGAAGCTTGCGGAGTGCCTGTTCGTCTGTATGTGTGTGGTCATGTGTCCTTATAGAATAAAGCTAGAATTAAGATTGAATAAAAGGGTAGCGTGGCGTTCGCTTTAGGGTATCTGCTAGTCGGGCACTCCCGCTTATAGCATGCTAACTTGTTTTTGTGTTTAGCCGTTGATAATTTTTCGCCCGAGTTGCTTGAAGGGGTTCTTGGGGAACTTGTTGGAGGTGGCTGCGGCAACAGATTTGCCTTTTGTTGACGTTTTTTTGCTGTCGGGTCGGTTGCTTTTGGCATATTTATTTTCTGTTTTATGCACTGCATATTTAGTGGCAATTTCTCTGGCGGATTTTGTGCTTAAATCTTTTGTTGCCCGCGGCAAACAGCTTTGTAAATCGCGCTGTTTCGTCGCAATTAAAACGGTTTACGGCGTAGTCCAACACCCGGACAGCCAGCAGCCATTGACATTCGGTTGTCAAGTGGCAAATAAAAAAATACAAATATATATATATGTATATATATATATATGAGACTTGAATAATTGCACAGTGCTATTATTAATAGCCTTGCGGCGCGGTGCACCCACACACACGCCCACACACTTACACACACACAGACAGTGGCTGAAATGCTTTTGTTTTCAATTGCTGTGAATTATGGTACATGTAATGATAATAGAATGTTGATCCTTTTTTGATTTTTTGAACGAGCCAGAAAACAATAACAATATCAAAGTCTGAATACTCTTCTCTACGAAAAGGAAATAAATTGCGATCACAATCGGCAGTTCTTATAGAAACATTTTATTTCAATAGTTAAATTCAAATTATTTACTCAAATATCCCAAAAGCCTCATGTTTAAAAACTGGAAAAAAACATAGCTAAAAGGCGAGCAGTTGGAGAACTCTTAAAATTTGTTTAAAACAAATAAGTAAATTATAAAGCATAATTAAACATAAGATTTCTGGCTTGTCCTGTTCGAGAATATATACTTAATAAAAATATAATTTTCTCCTTTCAAATATCACATTTTTGGCTAAATAATCAGGAATATTCTACACATGGGGCCTAAAAAATGTAACAAAGTACGCAATTAATAAAAATTCTAGCCAAATTTTTCACAAGTTTATGCTATATAATTTGGATATGAAGATATATATATGTGTGCACATACTTGGATTATGCACGCCCACATCTACACAAGCTAGCTGACCCCACAAAGAGTAGTGGGAGGGTGGATGGGGCGTGGTCGCTGTCGAGCTAATGAGCGTTTAATCCAACTGACAAAATGTCAAGGGAACACTTAGAGAACTCACCTCCACAGACAATGCGGCAAAACAAATGAGGGGAGCGCACATTAAAAATAAAAGATAAACATCTGTTTGGACGCTTGTTGCGACAGCTGCAGGCGAGGGGGCAGTGGGAGGTTGAGGTAGAGAGAGAGAGAGAGAAATGCTGAGATTTTTACTAAATATAAATAATAATTTCTTTTTATTTCTTCTTAGAAATACGAAAAAACATAGCTAGCACACAGCAGACGCTCTTTCTCTCTTTCTCCAACTACTGTGCCTCTCCCGCTTCTACTCACCATCTTCTCTCTCTCTCTTTCTCTCTCTCACTCAGAAGCAAATTGATAACGACAGACATCTCTTTGAGGCAGCAAACAAACAGAGCAGCAATGCAGAAAGAAAACCTAACCACACCGGCGAAAACAACAACAATAATAAGAGCAACCACAACAATAACAACAACAACAACGGCAACAGAATATTAGCAAAAATTTGTTGCTAATTTCAGTTTTGATCGAAATTATGTTCAACATGCAAAAGTGTCGTCGTCTTGGCATAGCCCAAACCAAGTCTACATCTCACCTCAAGTCCCTGCCCCACAAACGCGCCGCGCCTCCACTTTATGGAAAATGCTCAAAATCTGAAAATGAATTAATCTCTAAATGAATCCAACGGCCAGCAACATGCACTATAATTTATTTTGTTGCCATTAATATTTTTTTTTTTTTGTTATTTCTTAAATATTATTTGATAATTCGGAAAAGTGATTTTTCGCAGCGTTGGCGTCGACGTTGTTGTTGTTGTTATTGCTGTTGTTATTGCTGCTGTGGTTGCTGCTGTGCTTTGCTCTGTGGGCTCCATGGACTGTCGGCTGTCAAGTCGATTGGCTCAGTGCTCACTCGGACGTTGTCAGCGCTGCTCCTCGCAAAGAGAAGTCTTCCTCAGCGTCCAACGCAGTCGTCCGTCGTCTGTCGCCCTCGTCTCCATTTGCATCTTAGCCGGCTGTCGCATTGTCGCGTTGTCGTTGTTGTTGTGTGGGCAGCGCCCACATGTGCATGTACTCGGCATTATAGATGATATTAAGCATGCATATATATCTATATAGTATATAGTTTATGTGGCCCAATGCGTTGCTTTTGGAAATCATGTCACTTGCAGTGCGAAAATCTTGGCTAAAAGTGCAAAGTGGCCAACAACAACAACAAGTGTTTACTGTGCGCGTTCGTATGTATATTTAGCGGCAAAGTCTGAGTGAAAATTATGGAAAATCTGCAACAACAACAACCCAAAGCCTGAGCAAGTGCCAAAAAATATTTATGTGAAATAAAGAAAATATATATAATAAAAAAGTCAATAAAAGTTAAAAAAAACATAAGTTCAGTTCGAGTGCGCAGCGATCAACACGCCAACTGTTTATTTTTATTATTTGTTAATGTCGTGTGCGTGTATCTGTATCTATAGCTGTGCGCATCTGTATCTGTGAGCGATCGCTTTGTGTCAACTGAAAGATTTGACCTCGCACTTCACCCATCAAGCGAATTAACAGCATCGCAAGAGGGGTGCGAGGCGTGGCGCACTAGCTCGTCATCGTTTGTGTCGAGCCCCCCCCTCGTGAGCTGAGCCCCGGGCCAGTCGCCCCCTGTTAGAGGCAATTTGTCATACAAAGAAATCATTCAACTTGCTTCGCGCGGAAGTCTTTCGCATAATAGTTCCAATTTCCAATTGCAGTCCAGTGAGCTTCTACATGCTAAAGTGAATTCGAAGTGAGCTTGAGATAAAGATAAAGCTGTAGATAAAGCTGCAGAGAAATACTTGTGTATAACAGCTAAATTATGAAAATATTCAATACATAGCTAAGCATTCACAAGGAACATGGAAAACTTTTAAGGTAATTATTCAGCAAAATTTAACAAGAGGCAAGTATGAGTGCTTTAGTCGGACGTGCTCGACTAGAATATACCCAGCAATCAACCTGCCTTAACAATCATTCTATCTTTCTCTTAAACATATATTCTATACATAAACCTCTAGGAATAGAAATAACTTGATCTATATATATAAATACCCTCTTGAATCGCAGATGCCTGCTTCTCCCATCTTCACTGGATTCAGAACATAAAACTTAATAGGGATTTAAGTTTTTATTAGAAACAAACAAATCTGACATTTATGATCAACTGCTTAAGTGAGCTTATCTCAGCCAACGATATGCGTATATATATCCAGTAACTTGATAGATCGCATTCCAAAATGCTCCAAAGTGAAATTTTTGCATCAAACAAGCAATTTGCGAATATTTATGTGCGTTTCGCAAGGCGGCAACATCTGCGTCGAAATTGTCGAACTAAAATAGTCGACATTGAAATAAAATTAGCGCAGCCGGCATTTTGGGTATCCAAAAATAGCCAATAGACATGTTATTAATTGGTTTTTGGACAAGTTATACGTGTGCTAGAGCAGCTGCCCAAAAAGCTGCCCACCCCTCACCATGATAGTCTATATAAACTATGCTCTATATATAAGCTAAATGATTTGGTGATAATATTTTGCAGGCGCTGTCCGCCGTGAATGCTGACAAATCAAATATCAAACAGCTAAAAAACAAGCTGCTCAGGTAGCTATATTTTTATATATGTATATACAAAATATATATCTTTATGGAGTGAATGTTTAGTTTCTAATGGCCTTAATTTTCTTGACAAACTTTTCTGTTGATATTTATGCGAGACGCTCATTAAATTTCCCAGAGTTTTCCAGGCGGCCGCCTTTATAGCTCAGGCATCAAATCAATTCAATTTTTTTTCTCTCTAGTGCTGTTTTGTGTCAGTTGGCAAAATCCAATTAAAATGAATGGCACAACACACACACACACACACACACACACAGCACACACACACAGAACCGTGTCAAGAGCGCAAAACTAAAGCAATTTGTTTGGGCTGATTCTATGGTTTTTGGGGTTTTGTCATTACGGTCAATAATTACCGCAAGCATGTCAACCGAAATTATTGCCCAGATAGATTTTCAAATACATTCACCTCGGATTCGAGGGTTTTTTGGTGAGTGTTCGTGTGTGTGTGTGCGCGTGTGTGTGTGTGCGGGGGTATCCCTCCGTTTGCCACTTTTGGGGTTTAAGTGTCCGGCCATGTGTTGCAGTCAAACCGCAGGACTCGAAACTCTCCGTAAGGTGGACTGCGGACTTGCTGTGCGCTCTGCCGGAAATAATTACTCAGCTTGGCTTTCTTAGGGGTTTCAGCCCATACACACAGACAAACACACACAGTCGCACTCACACCCGTCCACACACATTTAATTTATATTATTTGTGCTTCCTTTTGTCTGGCATTTGCTTTGCTTTGCTCTCACTCATACTGCCACTCACTCTTTCTTTCTCTTTCACTCAGCCTTTTAATGTTGCCCATTTTGTTTACCTGCAATACGGGGAGGGGGCAACTTTATTAGTTGTTGTTGTTGTTGTTGTTGTTGTTGTTGCTGCAGTTGCTTGTCAGTGCGCTGTCTCATTTGTTCATGTGGTTGCTGCTGCTATTCAACCACTAAACTGTGTTGTTGGCTTTTGTTACATTTGAACCACATATTCGTGGTTGCCGCATCTTCGATTTTACAGTTTGATTTCTCATAATATTATTTCAGTTGCGCCTTGTAGCCTAAGGTTTGCCTTGGCCTGCCAGTTGAGATACATTTTAAGATACATTTTAAAGTTGAAAGTTTGATACGAACAAAAGTTTTGCAGTTGGCATAGTTTGCCAATTAGATGAAAGTTTAGTTACTGACAAGCACACACAATCACACACATGCATACACACACGCACACCCACGCACACACACATTAGGCAAGTGCGCTCAAGCGTTCTAATAAAAAAGTATCTTTTGTCGATTTATTGCTCTTTTGGCCACAATTCACCTTTTGCTTGCAGCTCGTGCGTATAAATTATTAAATATTTCTTCTTTTGTTTGTTTTGTTTTTTGTTTCTTGCCTAACGAACACGCTTAACAGCTCAGCAGACAGACAGACAGATAGTCAGGTGTGTGCACCTTGACTGACCCACAGCTCGGCTCGAAACAATTGCTCAAAATCCAATTCAATATTGATTGGTGGGCAGCAAATGAAAGGACATGAAAAATCGAAATGTGGGCGAGCTAGGCCGAGAAAGGATTACAACTTGCGACAAGTGCAATGAATGGCCAGCAGATACAGATACAAATACATGCACAGATACAGATACATTTACGAACTGTGTGTATATGTATTGGGTTTAGATGTGATTTAATGCAACCATTCTTTGCTAATTGCTTGGCTTCCATTTAATGGAGCTCACATTGCTGTGCTGGCTAATGGCTGAAAGTATATTACAATTATGTGTATCTAAATTCACAGATTAGATAAATTGGTAAACAACAAAAGGGGTACCAACAGATAAGAAAAATTGATATATGAATATGTTTCTAACCATATAAAAACATTTCTCATGGGCGCATTTTGTACATATTTGAGGCTGTTCTACGTAGGAATATATTATTAGACGTCCAAAAATGTTATACACTAAAAGAATAATTAAAATTTCATCAATAAAACAATTCCTTAAGTATATAAAAGTGTGATACAACATTTATAAAATATTGAGTCTTTCTAGTAAGTGTTATATTTTGTGTGATCAATCTCTTACATATGTTATATAGCTATTCTGTCTAAATTAAGTTTTTTTTTTTGCTGTACATGTACAAAGGCCCTTATGCTTTCATGTAGTGCGCATATCTAAAAGAATTATACAAACAAGAAGTGTTATACAGCTGTCCTATTCGAAATAAGTCTTTTTCCTATTGCTGTAAAAAGCTGTGATCTTTGACTTTCTTAAATGATTTTATTTTATCCAATCTTCGAAAGACAGAACTGTTGTACGGAATATATATCATAGTTACAACAGTAATATGCAATTTAAATAGTTATATTTTATACGTATGTTACACGTAGTAACAGTTGTTCATGTGTATTGCAAGTGTTATACGAAATGGGATATCATTTTCTTAGCTGTTATACAAGAAATCAACTAATTAAGCTGAAGTCAAAGGAGCCATGGAAAAAGTGTTATAGAAATGTAATATACAAATTGGGGAATCTAATTTCATTTAATTATATATGTGTGTATAGTATTTCTAAGCTCCACCCCATTATGATAGCCAAAATATAGGCTAATTACCTGACTGTATGCAATGTATAATTAAATATCCGTTTTTCACATAGCTTACCCATTTGTTGTAATCGCTTTGCTATATAATTATGTCCGGAAGGGGGCAACACCGATATTCATATACATTCATATGTAAAGTAAGACACATTTACCACTAAATAGTCGCACATTATTTAGCCATAGCCAAAGGCTATGGCCGAGCAATATTTGATGTGTGTCTCTATGTGAAATACCTGTGTGCCCTATGTGCCCGATTGGGTATTGAGTCGTTTGTATATATATATATATATATATAGAGAGAGAGAGAGAGAGACAGTTGGCTCTAACCCTTGTCTGTTATGGCCACGTTCTGCTGAACTGCTGTGCGGTCACACGAATGTAAGCCAGCCCCCCGCCCATCCTTCTGCCCGTACCACTTCAAACTCATCGATACTTTGGATACTACGTGGCCTGGCCAATGGTCTCTTTATTTTTCCAGGCTGTCCACAACACAGTAGCCTTCGCAGTGTGTGTGTGTGTGCGCGAGTGGTATATCTATATATATATATATATATATATATATAGAGCAACTCCCACACATATTGCGGTCCGTGCATGAGTTTAGTTTATATTTATGAGCATTATAGTGCGGATATATCGACGCGCGAGTTACGAGCCGAGCAATTGCAGCGGTATTTCAATTTCGATTTCAGTTCTTGGCCATGTTTCGGTCTTTCGGTTTGTCGTTTCGTCACGCGCTGATAAGAAAATGTGAATGGCCATAAAAATGCCAATGCATATCCCTATGACAGATTGCCATATAGATTTGGGCCGAAAATTTGGGTATTGTGTGTGTGTAAGTGAAGTTCATTTTCTTTGAGTTTCCCTTACCTTTTGCTGCTCTGAGTCAGCACTTGATAAGCGAATGTCAATTAAAATGCGAGCAACCTGCAGAAAGTACACTTGGCTTGTGGCACAGATAAAAACTTAAGAAAATAAACAAATGACAACAAATCTTTAGTCAACGGTAGCACAGAGCGGGAGAGAGAGCAGAACACAAGAGAGATCTCTGTAGGCGACAGGCAAATGTTTGCTCAAGATAATACACAGCAAGTGAGAGAGTGGGAGAGAGAGAAATAGAGAGCGAGAGAATTGAGAGCAAATCGCTATCGCAGTTTACCTGCCTGTGGACTGACAACAATCAGCGAACAATTATGCGATAAGCGCATTCTTATCAGCCAGAAGATAACATGCACACACGGTACGCGCATGTGTGTGCGTGTGAGAATTGGATTCACTGAGTGTGTGAAAATAATTATGAAATCAATTTGTTTTCGGAGCTCTTTTAGTTGCCTTTCGCTGGCCAAGTCGTGCGGTTCGAGCATATAACTCGCGAGTGCATTATCATTATCAGCTTTGATCGAGTAACTGTAACTGTATCTATCTATCTGTGTATCTGTATCTGTAAAAAGTGTGTGTGTTAGATATTGATATGATGGCATGTCGCGTGTGCAACTGAGCATATGTTAACAATAAAACAAAGTTCACTTGACCAGTGACCAGCAAACACGGCCAAAGTGCTTGAGATACATTTGTATCTTTGAGATACTTGCGTAAGCTACAGCGATCTATAGCCATACGTAAGTATAGCATTTTCAGCGATAATGCAAAATCATTGTATAGACATTAATTACTGGTGCTTGCAACTGTTATACTAGATTTAACTGTCATACAACCTGTTATAAAACGGGTTTACGCTGATGCACTTTTGCTTTCTGAAGTACTTCGAGACAATTAATGTTTGATGACATTGTTTTAATTGTTATACTAGTTAAAGCTGCTTTACAAAGTGTTATACAGCAAAATAATCGTAGAATATGGAATGATTTTACTTTTTTTTTGCAGCAGCAGCTGAAACATGACGAAATTGTTGCCATGTTTTATAGCTAAAAGATAACAGCTGATTAACTAGCTAAACTCACAGTTGCAGGTAGAGCTCTATTTGCCTTTGGATATAGCACAGCGCGTAGTTTGTACCCCCAAAAATAAAAAGAAACTGAGCGAAAACAAACTCAAGAAAAACCCACTATACAAACATATACAACACACTAGATAAGATAAGGAAAACTCGCTCAACAAGTGAATGAAGCTGACACAGGCCAACGGCACACACATGCATATACACATATGTGCACTGTAGTGTAGTGTAGTGGAGTGTAGTATAGTGCAGTGTAATGTCAGTTAGTGCCACGCACCCTGTGGATATTGCCTTGCAGCGCCTGCTGACATGTGATTCTTATATTGAGTACAAGTTGTGAGATGTCAACGGCAGTGTCACTGTCACAAAACAGAGACAAAAAGAGGGAGAGAGATAGGGACAAAGACAGACATAGAAATATAAACAGAGAGAGAGAGAGACAGAGAGTGAAAGAGACGGGCTACGCAAATTTGGGTCAGGCCTAAGAATCACTTGCCTACATTTGCATACTTTGGGCACACAGTTTGATTATCTCAGTGACTGTGGCTGGTTGCTGCAGGGCGAAGATTAGGTCAGGCACGAAGGCGGAGAAGGGGAAGCGAAGCTGATGGCAAACTGTGCAAAATATTGTCACTAAAGTTAATTAAAAAACAGCCAGAGGCCAAAGGCACAAAATATTTACACACACACACAGATACGCATATGACAGAGTTAGTATGGAAAACCCTACCCCTAATGGCTTTAATAAAAATGTCAGGCTAGGAGTGTGGTAAAGGGGGGTATATTTTGTCTCGGCTACGGGGGTTGGCGCTCTCGTCGTCTGCCTGTCAGCACGCTGCGTGTGCAAACAAAGGCAAATAAATAGAAAAGAGATACTCAATAATCAATAGATAAATAAAATTACAAGGTGACAGCAACAGCAGCAGCAGCAGCAGCCACGAGGATAACACAGCTGCCACCGCTGGGCGTCTGCCCGTGCCACGTTATGGCTGCAGGAGCCGCAGCAACCCGACAACGTTAACTGTTCATAATGCAGCAAAAACAACAAACAAAGTAATGTGAAATCTGTGCATGGCACGCCGAAGTTGAAATACTCTAACATAGCTGTAGCCAAATGGGGAGTGCTTTATTTAGGAACTGTTTAGCCAGCTTATTTAATATATTTTTCTAAAGGCTTGAGCACGTTTATCTAAATTGACAAATTGTGATTAAATTTTATTTAAAAAATTTAGCCAACAACTAAAAATCGCTTGTTTAAAACAAACATCATGATTGGACATAAAACTTTGTCACTGGGCATTTTATTATGTGTTGCAACTTCTTTTAGATATCGCTGTACTCAAAAGTCCAATGCTTAAGATCTTTCAAATGGCATGCACTGCTCTACATTACATTATACTCATTATTATTGAACGTATTAGATGAAGTTACAAACTCTTTATTGTATTAAGCAAAGAAATAGGTCTGCGGCTTAGATATTAAAACGTAGTTATAAACTCGCCTACGATTCGATCGTCGACTCGAACCTCGATACAACATTTACAATCTTTGTAAGTCTTAAACAAAAAACAGAGTTAAGCAAATCAGAATTTAAATTTTCAAATCAACTTTTAACTTTTAAAGTAAGTTAAAGTAAATTATATTAAATTAAGATTTAAATCAACATTTTTTTCTCTAATTGTCGACACGCTGCTGCAAGCTTTATAAGAAACTTAGGATATCTAAATACCCTATATTAGTTTTATATATACATATATATATGTGTGTACAACAGGCATTGGCGTCGCTGTTGTCGTCGACATCGTTTGATGGCGCTGGATAAGCGTGTGGCAACGTGGCAGCAGAAATGCCGCTGGCAAACCGAAGCTGGCAGCCCAGCAACAACAACAACAAGAGCAATAAAAACAACAACAACAACACACACAACCAGAATCTTCTGTTGGTGGGGTGCAACAAGCGTTTCACGACACGTTGCCAGTTGCCAGCGTCTGGCCAAGTGAAGCGGACGACAAAAAAAAAAAAAAAAAACAAAACACAAAAAACAAAATAATAAATGAAAATCAACGAAAATAGAAAAGCGCGAAAATATGCGAACGTTGCAATTTATTAAAAAATAATAGAAAATGCAAAGGAGAAGCGCATGCAAGTAGCCAGGTTAAAGAATCTACAAAATTTAAAGTGCATATTTGTTGAGGAGTTGCGCATACGCCATGTAAAACGCGTTGAAATTTTCAAGGGGCGCACAAACAGAGCATAATCATGCTAATCTCGCAAAAGGCATAAGTGCATGTGTATGTGAGTGCGTGTGTGTGTGTGCGAGTGTGTGTATGAAGCGCGTTAATTAAGGCGGCCATGCCTGTGGCCAGTCAAGTGCGACAACAAATAATTTGATTTCAATTTAACTAATTAGCTGGGGCCTTCAACATAATGGCTGAGCGCTCAGTCTGAGCTCTTACAGTATATATATATATATATATGTATATGTATATATATAAGTCTGTGTGAGTGTGTGTGCTTGGAGCACTCAAATGCTTATCTGTTTAGCGGCAGCTACAAGCATGTTTGGCTTACATGGCCACTCTACTGTCCATGTGCATGTGTGCGTGTGTGTTAGCGCTTTATCAAAGCCAAGCACTTGAATGCAGACAGTCAAGTGGCCCGTCACTGCGGTCAGTCTGTCAATATGCGTCCATTGAAATGCGCTTAGCTATGCAGCTGCAAGCCGGGCCTGGACGGGCGCTGTAGGGGGAGGAAGTGCTCAATTTGGTAGCTATTTTGAATGTGGTTACACTGCGCACCACAAACAAAAAAAATACAAAAAATTAAATAAAATCCCATTTTGTTTAGCTGTGCGGTCGCTCTGATAAAGTTGTGCTGAATTATTTAATTAACCACTCAAATTAATTTTAATTAAATTATCTATGACGTGCACTTTATTCGAGCGTAAAGTATTATTGCTTTGTGTTGCATTAATCCTAGAGTTTCTTTGATTTTGCAATTGTTAGAGCTTAATTTGTGTGCGAAGTATTAAATATAATTGGTTGAAGCATGCACTTTTCATTTATATTAGTTTTAATTGGAAAGCGAAAAAGGACAACTTACCTGCATTTTAGTTCTTTCTTCCCGGATTGTGTCTGATTTAATGTTGTATTCAGTTTCTTATATATTATTCGCATATGTTACAGAGTAAATATATCTGAGAAATAAATGAAAAATAATTAGAATATAGTCTAAAAAACAAATAAATAATAAAAGATCGTTTAAAAAGGTTAAGATTTTTCTTGGTTTTCATTTGATTTTAGTTAAGCTCCTGATGATAATAAAGAACAAATAATAATAATAATAATGATAATAAGTATAATAACAATAATAATAAAAAACAAAAAGAATTATAAAAATAATAATTGCAGTACATATCAGCTTAATATTTGCACTTTTAGTTTTAAATCTCCATCTGAATTTAAATGATATAAAATCAAACAACTTTTTCAAAAGTGGCCAATTATCAACAGCATTTGCACATTTACAAAAAGTAACTCACCCCTGAATTTGAACACCTCTTACAAGTTGTTGAATTAACAAACAATTATATTTTATAATTTAATTACAGAACAACCCACGGACTGTGCAAGTGCAAATTGCTGCTCGATGCGCAAAGCACATGAAAATAAAAAGAAAAATATATAAATAAAATAAAAAAAAATAGTAAAGTTTTTAGTGAGAGATAAAACTGTGATAAGCAAAACGAGCAAAACGGAGCAAAACGCGCTGCGGAGCAATTAAATGCGAGATAATATACAATTTTAATAAAAGTAAAACCCGCAGCAAATTAAAAAGGAAACGTCGCCAAATGCAGCAGCAACAGTCGCAGCAGCAGCACTAAAAGTAATTAGCTTCAGCAACAGGGGCGAGCGACAGAGAGAGAGATAGAGGTAGAGAGAGGGAGAGAGCGAGCAATAATAATAAAAGGTGAAATAAAACAAATGATGTTGCAATCTTTGAAACTGCGCGCGGATAAACTAAGCGGCATTCCAACAACAACAGAAACAACAGAAACTACAACAACAGGCAACACTGCGGCAACTGTTGAGGCAGCAACAATTATAGACACAACAACAACAACAACAACGACGATAACAACAACAGCAACAACAATGCTTACAACAGCACCTGTTGCACATGTCGCTAATGGTATGGCCAATGGCAGCAGTCTCTATAACGGCAGCAACAGCACTAACAATTTAAATACCAATAACAATAACAACTTGCAACAGCAACAACAGCAGCAGCAACAACAGCAGCAGCTACAACAGCAGCATCCAGCAAAGTATTTAGAAAATCTAACGCCCGCAACGGGCGCCATTGCAACGGCAACAACTTTTACAGGTGCTGCTAAAAGTTTTCATCCCTATTTGAGGCCCAGCAGCAACATACCAACAGCAGCTACAGCAACAGCAACAGCAGCAACGACAATGACCAAAACTGCTGGCGGCATTGGCGTCGGCGTCGGCATGTCGACAACATTGTTTGAAACACTTTTGCACAACCAAATAAATTCCAATGCAACTACAGCCGCTGCCGTTGTTGCCGCCATGCCAGCCGCAGCAGCAGCAGCAGCAGCAGCAACTGCAGAGGCAGCGCCAGCAGCAGCAGCAGCAGCAACCACAGCACCAGCAGCAGCAGCAGTTGCTGCGGCGTCGACGCTGCTAAATTCCAGCATTAATTCCAGAACTTCATTAGCCGACCAAAGCGCCGGCGGCGCCACAAATTGGTAAGTCACGCCCCTCGGCCCCCGCTCCACCCTCATTCCCCCTTCTTCCCAGCACCGCCAACTGCGTTGGTTTTTTCTCTCTAATGACTGCAAATTGCATTCGAATGATTTGTTGTTTTGGCCCAGGCGCTTGGCTTGGCCGCAACTTTTTTTGATGATGATGCTAACGCAGTAAAGTATGCTACAAATATACACAGCTATTGTTGGACTAGGTTCAGTTGCGATTTAACCAGATGCTTGTCGAGGCCTGTTGTGATATCTGACTTTCAGAGAATTTAAATGCATATAAAAAATTTACTCAAGTACTTTAATTATTTTAACCCATTTTATAGACCTGGGCAGGTTTTTCACTTGAATTTCTTACTAAGTTGGGAGAAAGATCAAGTTGTGCAAGCCAGGCGATTTGTATAAAATGAACTTATCCAAAAGAAATTACTTATTGGAAACGAATCGATAACACAATCGATAACACAAGCGCAGAGCAAACTGTCAATAAACAGCTATCATTTTGGTGTAATCTAGATGATTTAAATGCACTTGACTCTTGTTATCTACCTTCTCTTCAATTAACACACTTTAAACAATTGCAAAATAAATTATCATGGAATTTATGTTTGACTGAAAAGCCAATGAGCTATAAATAACCCCCATTCCAGCCCTTCATTTAAGTGCGGAATGTGAATGCTGTTTTTATTGAAAAAATAAAAGTTCAATTCAAATTAATTTTGCAACCCTCTTCCCAAAGCATTCTTCAACTCCTTTCTTTATAGGACGGATTTCTTATATACGCCTACAGAGAGACTCATCAAGCCGCCTTAGATGTGCTTATTAAAAGATATATATATACATATATATATATATTTATCTATGTGCACTCGGAAAAAGCGCATTTGAATGGAAATGTAGCCCATGTCGCGCGCTGCATAGCGAAAGTCGAATAATTTAGCTAATTTCTTATCAATTTGCATATTGGCTAGATATAAATTTCAATTTCCTTTTTGGGAAATGCCAGTCGCGCGGTATCAAATTTGAAATTGTGATGCCATGCCCCGCTGTGTCATTTTCCATTACGACAAGTTCCTTTGCCCGGAAATTATAAGAGAAAAAAAAGGGAAAGAAGCAGCAGCAGCCGCAGTCGCAGCAGACGAGAAGAAAAATGTCCATTTGGTTGGCAGGCATTTTTGAAGCAGCGTGCACCCCCAATCGAATCGATTCAATTAAAATAAGTGACAACGTGCCGAGTGAAGACTCCTTGGCCTGACTTGGCCTGCTAACGATAATTGGCATTGCATTAAGTTTATTAATTGGCATTGGAGTGAGGCCAATGGGCATCAGGTCTCAGTGTCATCAAGCACATAATGCTAATGATCATTGACAGCCGCTGGTAATTATAACAAAACATTGATAATGATGATGATGTGGTCGATAAGACAACGTGACAAACTGATATGCAGGCATAAACCCGTACCAAACCCGTAGTTCCCAGTCCAAGCATTGCTGCAGTCCCACGTTGAGCGCCTGACGCTTTGCCCCACTTCCTTATTTTGCTCAACCATCTCTTTCTGTCTCTCATTCGCGGTTTTTTTTTTCCAGCGTGTTGCGCTGCCATTAAATAATAAAGCAAGAATATTAAATTTATGTTGGGTCATTTTTATGCGCCTGCCTCTGTGCAACTGCCCAACGTGCCACCCTTTGCAATCGCGCCTCGCTGTGTCTCACTGGCGTCCTCTATCTTTTGCCGGACTGTTTGTTTTTGTTGTGACAGGCGCGACATAACAAACTGCCATCATAAATTAAATGCCACGTCACGGCTTTGTCGGCGGCAACGTTGACGCGGTAGGCGGGTAGGCGTGGTCGTAAGGGCGCCGCGTTGAGCTGTCCATTCAGCTGAGGCCGTGCGATAGCATCTAGAGCAGCAGCAGGAACAGCACCAGAAGCAGCAGCATCAACTTGAATATCATCGCATGTGTCATGAGCCTGCAGCATAAAACATTTTCGAGCCGCAGCAATCCAACACCTGCTTCACAGCATCAGCAGCAGCAACAACAGACAAGGCCAAAGCCATAGCCGAAGCTGAAGCTGAAGCTGTGGCAAATCCCAGTGTGCGCCCACCGCAGGCAATTTTCTCATTAAGCTGCGGCCCATTTAAATGAAACTGAATTAGTAATGCGAAGAAAGCCGCCGAGGCGCAGCCGGCAGAGCAACTGTTGCCGGCGCAAGTAGTTGCTGTCGCATTGCCCCTGGAGAGTAGCTATTCCCGCTGATGGATTCCCCAGGCGGCTGGGTGACTTTGAAAGCGAAATAATTGCCTACGGGGCAACAGCGACACCTGTCGCGCTGCCTGCCCTAACACACCGCCCCCCTTCAATTCAAGTATATACTTAAACCGCGCGCCAAAAAGTAGGCAACAGAAAATTGGCTGGCAAATGCGTGCGGCGCGCAGATTTTGATTTATGCCCGCCAGGCAGCTCTGATACCCTGTTGGCCTCGGCTTAGACTCGGCTCGCTTTGGCTCCCCCGCCCCATTTGGCCTACTTTGCATTTGACTTGTGGGCAATATTTATCACCTTGACACTAGACTATTTGGCAGCGACACGCTCCGCCTCTAATAGATTAAGTTCGTTTTGTCATTTGCCGCCTCCGGGGACGCACGACGAAAGTGGGCGTGGTACCAACACCAGCGAGAGCGAGCGAGAGAGCTTCATTAGCTCGTAAATTTAGAAGGCAGTTCATAAATGTTGTCTGGCTGAAAGCGAAATTAAGCTAGATAGCATCTGAATTGGGTAATATCCGGAATAGCTGAGCTTTATTTATTTAACTACGCAGCGCTTTTAATAGGGATCGGGAGATAGCTTTAAATTGTTTCGTCGCACAAGAAGTCGCAATATCTAGATAAATGCTGTCAATAGGAATTGCAATATGATATTCCGATATATTATTATTAAATTTCTTAAAAATCTTGTGGATTTTTTTTATTTTTTTATATAATTAATTTAGAAAGATTTTTGACCAAGTACTAAGTGAGGGATAGCTAAACGCCTAAATATGTTTCCGTCAAACGTTCATTTGTGATAAGGTAGACAGAAACAATATATAAGTCCTAGTAAATAATAAATTCAGATAAACATCGATCAAAAATATTCTACAGCATCTTGACCCTTGAATCTTCTTTTGAACAGCTGAAAATATATTTCAGACATTCGCTAATAGTTGAGTTATATTAAATATTAAATCTTATAAAAGCACATGCCCTAGTTTTTAACTTTAGTCTTAAACCACTTTTCTCATGGCTAATTAAAATTGTTTTTCCCAACACCCACAACACAGTTTGGTTCTGTAATACTGAAAAGCAATTAGATTTTCAAATTTATTGCCTGAACTGCTTGACAGCTTCAGCTTATTGGCAAGTGTGCTGCTTGCGTTTGTTGTGGCTAATTGTGTTGTTTCAGCATTTATAGTTGTTGTTGTGGTTGTTGTTGACATCAACCAAAAGTCAATTTTGTGTGCCATTAACAACACCCAATAAACCGCAAATATATATATATATAGAGAGAGAGAGAGAGAGAGAGAGAGAGAGAGAGAGAGAGAGGGGAACAAGAAAACTTTTCGGGCATTACACAAAAACGCAAGTGAAGAATCCAAATGACCCCAAAATGGACCATTCAATGCATTGCCAGCTACTCACACTTCAGAACACACACATTAACACACACACACACACACACACACACACACACACACACACAGGAGCATTGGTCAGCCACAGAACAAAGTAAAAACGTTTACAACTTTTTAGATTAGATTAGTTTGCTAATAACAATTAGTATTTGTATTTTATGCACTGCTTGTCTATCTATCTCTCCCTCTCCCTCTCTCTCTCTCTCTCTCTCTCTCTCTCAGTCTCTATATACACGTTCCATACAAACACCCTCTATACCAGCCCCATTCTCCCCTCGCCATTCGACAAACAAGCATTGTTGTCCTGCTTGTTGTTATAAACTTGCAGAGGGTTCTATAATTTTGTCATGATGTTTCCGACGCTTTGACGAAGACATCTGCGATAAGGTATATATATATATACATATATATATATATATATATGATAATAATAATATATTTTCATGATCAGTATTAACAGCCGAGTCGATCAAGCTATTTGATTCTATGCAATATGTAGTTAAGATAGGAATCCTCAGTCCACTAGGGTATTTCATCTTCGGCGAGCCAAAAATAGTTGTCCTTTTTGTTTTTATGGTCATTAGCAAATGAAGTTAGAACACAGAGTGAGAGAGAGAGGGGGTAGGGTAGCTGGGTTGTTTAAGCCATGTCCAATATGTTGGCCATAAAAGTTCAATGGAATTGCCGGGCAAAGTTTTTGGCCAACATAGATATGGATTTGTGTGTTCGCCTGATTTATAATGACTTTATTTTCGCTTTGCAGCGACTCAAATGGCGCTGAGGAGCCGCAGCTGGCGATGGAGGCCATCAAATGCGAACCGGATGCAATGGATACCAGCACAGTGGCCGATACGGAATCGGCCAAGGATCAGCCCGATGCGGACAACATTAAAATGTTTGTGGGCCAAATACCCAAGACCTGGGACGAGCTCAAATTGCGACGACTCTTCGAACAGTTCGGGCGGGTTCATACGTTGAATGTGCTGCGCGATAAGGTCACATCGATTAGCCGAGGTGAGTGCACACGCATACAAATGTGGGTATTAATTGGAACTGGGCCCCGGGCGCAGACCCGCTCAATGAATTTTTACACTGCCCCATCAATTCGAGGTGCACCCTTTTAAGCCAGTTATGTGATGATGGGGGTGAGGGTAATATTATTATGGCAAGCGCACAACAACATTGAGGCTAACACCTTATTCGGTCCAGAGCAGGTGTTGACTCGCACTTTTGCCGCCTGCTTTGCCCAGCTTAGACGGTAATTGGCCATAATTGCCACACACACACACATACACGAACACACACACACACACTCGAGCTTTGGTTAATTCTATGGGGTATTTGAATAATTTGCACATTTGCTTGCAAACTTTTATGAAAGCTTGAAATGGTATTATGCATATTTATGGCCAGGCGTGCTGTTGCCTCTCAATGATTGGATATACTTATACTTGGCGCCCTTCTTCTTTCTTTTTTTGCCTTTGCTTGTATGAGCAGATTAGGCTAAGAACACAACAAGAGTTGTTTGGGCCGGGAATAATGCTATCGCAGTGAGTGTGAAGGTAGCCGAAGACGATTACACTTGATGCCGGGTAGTTGGGCTTTGCAGCTTTAGCTGCATCATAAATATATAATTTAGCTTCAATCAATTTATATGACCTTATGTTTTATTTATAGAGAGCAAATACAATTTGTGGAGAAATAAAACACAATGACATGAAAAGTACCAAAATCACCAAGTGCTGCCGAATATTTCGGTTGATTTTCATAAATAATATGTTATCGATCATATATATCTTATTGTTATAGAATATCAATACGAAGTCAATCACAAATTGTATTCAAAATCTTTAACATACTATACAAGGCACAATCTTTACGAAATCGATAGTTTCAATATATTAACAAGTCTAGTCGACACATTATCGATAATATCGATTATCCATCTTTCTTACAAATTCTCGATATTAGTAATTTATCGATCATAATTTATTGATCAAATGCAAGATAAAATCGCGTGAATAATAGTTTACCCAGTTATAAGGTTTACCAATTTTCAAATGTTGTAAAATAATAAATTATCGATCATTGTCTTTGTACTATAGGTAAAAGTGATTATTTGAGTGTTATTTCCGTTATATGTGCTGTCTGATTAATCATCATAAAGCACGCACGCGGAATATAAAAGTTTTGGGCAACAGCTGTCATACGCCATATATGTATATAGTATAATTTTTATATACCACCCACATTTTCAATTTGTCTTAATATCATTATCTCTGCATGGCTCGCATGATGCGTTCGTCTCCTGTCCCACAAAACATGCATGCCAAAATTTACTTGTGTCTAAAACAGTTTGTTCCATGCATGATATAATATATATATATATCTATAGATCTAAAGAGAACTGTAATTTGTAACGGTCCCGAGTACGCGAAAATAAAATAAAATATTATAATAAGCGTATGCGAGTACTCGTCCTTGTATCATACGTTTGTGCAATTGTCTATCGATTGTTGATTTTTGTTATCGACCTGCCAAATTTTTGTATCGATTTGTATCGATTGTTTCGTTCTGTTTCGTTTACAGGGTGCTGTTTTGTCACCTACTATACGCGCAAGGCGGCTCTGCGGGCCCAGGATGCGCTGCATAACATCAAGACCTTGGATGGGGTAAGTACAGCAAATGGGAATGCCCCTACTCTATACATATATATATATATAGCCTAGCATTGTGTAGCGCTTTGACTTGCTCGTTTTACGTTCTGTATGTGTATGTATGTGTTTCGTATGTATCTTATGTATGTATTATTTTGTATGTGTGTGCGTTTCCTTTATTCGTCGTTCACCTCGTCAAATTTCTATTTTGCTTTCTAAATAATGCAGCTTGAGAAAGTCAACCGCTGGCGCCCATCGATCGATCGAATGACATAGTTTTCCATTAAACACATACATACCTCAAATTTCTAATAGCTGCCACACACATACGCACACACACCACACAAGGGGGTGGGTGTTGTTGTGTGGCCAACACAAATGTAATCATCAGTCAATTAGTGGATTCAATTATTGAGGACAATCTCATTGTTAACGTATTAAATGAAGCGTTCACGCAGAGGCAAACACTGTAAAGGGAGTATCCCTACTATATGCAGGCATATATACAACTATGGCTAGCCTTAACGCCCCTGTGCTACCTTCCAGTTAGCTGCCTTCATTTACATATTCAAATTGTTAATGGAAAATCCACTGGCACTAAAACGAGAGACCTTCACGAAGCACTGGAGAAGGTGGCTATGCGAGGAGGGAGTGGCTTGGGGTGGACCAACAGGCAAATGACGCCACGTGTGTAAGTGTCAAAATAATGACCAGTGTCCAGCTTTATATATATGTATATATATATATAGCTATACATACAAACGCATACGCGCTTTGTTTGTATAAGTAAGTGCCCAGCTATGCATATGTGTGTGTGCACGTGTGTGTGTGCGTGTGTGGGCATGTCTGATCCTTTAATGCATTTGGCAGGCTGCCTGAACAACCACCAAGCTCGACCATAGCCTCAACGTCTGCTGCTGTGCAAGAGCTACTTAATTTACCTGAAATAATCGATAGGTAAACAGACGTTAAAACGTCGGCATTTTCTCACACACACAAACACACACACACACTCATATAGGCCGCTACGTATGTATGTGTGTGTGTGTTTGGGGGCCCAACTTGTCAACGGCTTCAATAAATATTTTGTTTTGAAGTGACCATTTCCCTCTATATATAGACCGCAGGATGTGTGTGTGGACTGTGTGGGTGTGTGTGTGTGTGGGTTAAGTGGACAGTTATATTTTTTCTTTTCTTTTTGATTTCGTGTTGTGTGACACGTGTGAAAAGACGCAGTTGTGACGCACTTGAAGTGGTCGGAAAAATGATTACACTGTAAAACTGTCGAAATGCGATTATTTTGAGTTAAGCCCAAGAGTATGCAATGCTTTTTTGACTTAACTCGTGTATTGCTAAGAGAGAGAGAGAGAAAATGAGTTGTACACAAGTGAGAAGCGAGTCTGTAATATAGCGCATTTTAATTGCAATATTTAATGCAAATTAATAAAATAATATTGAAAAATAAAAATTAATTTTAAGTTATAATGTTTCTTTTAATTAAAAAATAAATATATATTTTTTGTACTTTGTTTTATATGAATTGTTATTATTATGGCCTTGTGTATGCCACGTTGAGTGTGAAGAGTTTTTGCGTCAGATATTTTATATGCAAAATCTATCATCATAAACAGTTTTCTTTCTATAACCTTATCCGATCTAATTGAGAAGAGCCAGGAGCAATAAACAGTTTAATTTAATTTTGTTGTTTTCTGCTTATATTTTCATTTAGAAGATTCTGAATATTTCTTGCAGTGTTTTAATTCAAATCCCAATGTTAAGTCCGCGCTAGTATCTGCCCCCTTTCTCTCTCTCTCTCTCGCCAATTCTCGCTCCTGTCCTGCCTCTCTCTCTCTTTCTCACACAGCTTGACAAGCCGAACATTTCGCAATATTTTTATAGCTAATTGACAATTTGAACGGCAATCACACATGAAATATCCTAGCACAAGCAAAAAAACAAAAACCAAAAAAAAAGAAAGAACAAAATAAATGAACAACTAGAAGGCAAATCGTTTTATAAACCAATTGTCATTAAAGTGAAAAGGGTAACATTTTGAGTACATGGGGCTAATACATATCGAAAGCCGAGCCTTACACAAATGGACAGACAGCTAAATTGTGTATGGGGCAACGAGCAGGAGGCGGTTAGGGGGGTTACTGGGAAAAGAACAGCAGCAGCAGCGACGTCCTGGACAGGCCACTTAACTCATTCAACTGTCAATTTTGAATAATAGAGCAGCAAAATGACGCAACAGCGAATGGAAGGGGTCCGGGTAGGGGGCGGCGGGGTAGGGAGGCATGGCGTAACAGCTAAGGCAGTGACATTTTCTCGTAATTTGTGCAAAACCTTTTGACCAGACAACAGGCCAGCCAACCAGCTGTGCAGATAGGCCGGCCAGACGGTCCGAGCACCAGCTGCAGCTTCAGTTTGAGTTCTTGAGCATTTCATTTCAATTTCAGCACAACAGTCACTCACACAGTCACTCAGTCAGTCACTCAGTCAGTCGCTCGGTCATTCATTCATTCACTTAGTGCATCTCTCTCTCTGTCATCGCTCAGCCACGTTTTTTTTTATGGCGCGTAGCCATTTAGAAATGGTTAACAAAGAAAAGGCTATAAGAACGAGTTGTACAAGTGTGTGCAGCAAACAGAAAAGGACATTGCCTACACAAAATAGATTTATTCTGTACCGAAAGTAACACAAGAGCAATGTACACTACTTCCCTCGTTTTGCCCAGTTGTAAAGGGGTGAAATATTAATTGAGTTTCTGTACTAAAATATCAATTTTAGTTACACAGCTTTTTTAAAATTAATAATTATCGAAGTTCAGTCATATTTTGTTTTGACTTTTTGACACGTTTTATTTGCATGTCAAATTTTAAAATTTATGTTCAATCTCAATGAACTGTCTAAATGCGCACAGGGTATCTATAAGTCGAGCAACGAGTCCTAGCCTTGGCGTGCGCTTTAGAAAAACGTGCAGCAATTGGCGCAATTCTAATATGATTGTAAGTATTATTATTATCATTTGCCGCTGTTGGCGCCCCTTAGCTGAATGAAAAGTTAATTGAAATCAAAGTAATGGCTGTAGACCCGTTGCCAACGGTCCTGTCAGGTCCTGGCACCGAGGACAGCTGAGAGCCTTATCGGTTTGCTCAATGAATGTAATATAAATGAAAAATTGTTAAAAGCAGAGCATTCAATTGCACAAGTGCTAATGGCCACGTTAATGAAATGGACGCTTGATTTTTATTTCCACATTGCCCCCTTTCCGTTGCTCCCCCGCCCCACTTGCTTGTCTGCTTTTCTTTTTAGCCATTTCATTAGTTTCATGAACATTTGTTAGCCTTTGCACTTGCCTTTTGTAGCAACATTCTTGTTGCATTTCATTCGGTATCATGGTAATGAAATCTTCAAAGCACACAAACAGAAAGGTAGCTGAAAAACTTATCAGACATGGAGGTGGCACAGAGGGGAGTTGTGTGGGAGCCAGCACTCATGTGTCCTGGCATAGCCCGAGAGCCTGAATTGCAATTCAGCAGCTGCAAGCAGCTATTAAAAAACATAAAACAAAAAACGTACGAGCTGTGTAGTCTCTGCTCTTTGCTCTGCTTATGCCATCCTACTCTTACTAATATGCTCTCTCTCTCTCTCTTTCTTTTGCCATTTTACAGATGCATCATCCCATTCAAATGAAGCCTGCGGATAGTGAGAACAGAAATGGTAAGTTTTGCAACAAAAAACTAAAGGAAATGCATTCTTTTTTTTTGCTATTTGCCCTTTGTCTGGCTGATCTTGCTTTTTATGGCCCTGCCTTGTGGTCTTAATCGCAACTTGTATCGGAAAACATGCGCCTACCATATGCATGAATAATGGCCGGGCGGCATTCAGAGAGGCGCTGGCGATATAGCAGCAATAGTAAGCTTGTGGCGGCCCACTAAATCGATTAAGGTCTTTGCCTCTATCTCTGTCTGGGGCATTGAAAGCTTTGGTGCCTAGAACACGCTCTGAATAAATACAATTTCAATAAGAGCGCAACTGTTAACCAGACACGTAGCTGCTCCTGCTCCTGCTCTCGTTTGTTCTCTCTCTCTCTCTCTCTCTCTCTCTCTCTCTGTCTCATTCCCCTCTGACTAGGACTATAAATTGCAGCCGCGTTAACAGTAACTAAAAAGTCAAACACTCAAAATACCAAAGTACCCAACTACATGATGACCAGGTGGCAACGCTGCTCAACCAAAGCCAAACCAAAATGAAACTCTTTATTGAGTCTTTTTTTTGCCGCGCCATTCGCCATGGCTGTCAATAGACGCGTCTGCGACGCCATTTTGCCACGCGTTGCGCTTCCGTTTCCGCTGCGTGCGTGTGCGAGCGCGTGTATGTGTCTGTTGATTGAGGCAGCTGTGGTTAAGACTTTGGTATTGCTGCGCCTACTTTTCATTTTAACAATTTCTTCTGTGGAATGTTCGTTATCATTTCTGTTTCCTTTTCCGATCGTTGTCTACCTTTTTTAAGACTGTTTTTAATTGCTTTTCCGGCTGTACTAATTTGTTCTTTATCGATTGGACTTATCGTGCCTAAGCTAAGCCCTGAACATGAAAGATTTCCTTTTGGTGCGGCTTACTTCTTACTTAAAGCTGGGAATTATGCAACGTTTTGTTTCTAATTTATGCATTTAACTCTCCTACTCAACGTTTTGGTACTAATTCGTATATTAATCTAGTCGCATTTCACTTTCTCCATCAAGCTGTGCATATCTTTTACAAATTTCTTCGATATCTTTTGTTCTCATTATATATTTTCACATCTTCAATCCGTATAGTTTGCCCATCGCATATATCTGCAAATTTTTATGCTTTTTCAATCACTTAACGTGCTCAACGAGTACCACAAAATAATAATTGTTGTTGTTCTTGTTGTCTTGTGCGTCACGCTGTACGCGTGACAAAAATAAATCACAAAATTAAAAATACGTAACATAGAAATTTTATGGTAAATTAAGAAAATGTGCAAAAAAGAGTGTTCTAGTAGGCAATGCACGACTAAGAGATGCCCGTACACAACATGGGTTGAGTTTCTAAAATCGATATCTATCGTGTTAAATATCGAAACATTGACAATTATAAAAATTGACATCTCTGGCTTTGATATTGCCTTAGGCCCAAGGGTTGATTGAAAGGGGCGGTTGATCGGAGCGCAAGACTTGTCTAGATGATGCTGATAAATAATTTATACATGAATACATTATGAAATCAGGGCTGTCTACATCTGCTTCTAAAAACCATACGCACTATTCATTCATTATACCCATCAATAGCTACAGGGCAGAGAAACTGTCACTCAGCAAATTGAAACTGCAAAATCTCGCATAGGCTTCAAACAAACATATTTATAGCAAAAATACTTTAAATAAAAATGCATTCAATATTCTGTGAGCAATTACTCGACGCATAATGCGTAATGCAGCCCAAACATTATCTCAGATATATGCATGTCTAGAAGTGTCAAGAAATTATTTTTAACAAGGCGTAGCAATAACAAAGCTATTAAACTTAGAGAACTAGCAAACACGCAGAATATTCAATACTCTTAAAGAAAATTGAACTTTATGGAATGCGTTTAAGGATAAAAAATTAGGAATAATTACAAAATTTTATTTTGTTAACGTCTGCTTAAATTATAATATACCCTGTGGCATATAATCAATCTAAATTTCGTACTACCCCTAATGAGTAGAGTATATTTGGCCAAAATAAATACAAAAAGTATATATGCCGCATAATTTCAAATGCCACACGATATAAGCAAATGCAACAAGTGCAAAAGTTGTCCTCCACTCCTTTACCGCACCTACTCCCTGCCCCGAACGAGCCAAAACCAAACGCCCGCCACGCCTCCTGCGTGTTTGGCAAAATGTTTTGGCGACACTTGACAAAATGCCAGAAATTCTAAACACTTTTAGCCGTTTGTCGTTGGCCTTTTGGCTGCCCTTTTTGCCGTTGCCAGCTTCTACTTTGCGAGCTGCTTTGAATTTTTCGCACAGAGTGAAAGAGAGAGCGAGAGAGAGAGAGGGGGAGAGAAAGTGTGCATTTGCCTCGTTCTAGCTTACAGAGTGCAGTCTCTTTCTGTTCGCCTGCCTAATCATGGCAAATTAATTATTTGCTGCAGTGGCTGCACATTTAACGCACACTTTTATTTATGCCGCTTGGCTTTCTAATTAATGAGTATATTCGCGAATTGTCAGGCGCTGACATGGCAGCCCTCCCCCCCTCCCCCTGCCTAGGGCCTCCCTCGCGCAAGTAATTCCATGACGTGACGTCTTTTTGACGACAACAACAACAACATACGACTTTATTTAAGAGTGGAGCGCGGTATCTTTAGATCTGCGCTTGGGTCAAATGCATTTTCATGCTTGCAATTTGTGTATCTGCATCTGTTAGATACTTTGCTGCTGGTCACATTAACACACTTTTCATTTCAATTATGGCAAACACAAAGCGCTTTTCTATGTAGCCAGCATGGCTGAGCCGCAGTCGAGACTCTTGGAGTGCGCCTCAATTGATTTTCGCACATTTGTTGCTCGTTTAGCGGCTGACGTGATCGCTTGTTTAGATACAGCCATGAGTATGTATCTAGCAGATGCATTCAAACACGTAAGTAGCTGAAGTTCGTTGGGATTTTGTACAATTTGTAGCCAAGTTGTTAATTATGAGCAGCGTTTCGTTTAACTTGGCGTTAAATGTGCTAAATATTGTACAAATCGAAGTTTTTCTGCTTTTTGTGTGAATAAGAGCATCAAAATGAGCCAAGAGCGGGATTAAGTTAAGCTGAAAGTACAGTGAAGTGTCTACTAAGGAGAAGCTTCATTCGGCGGAGTTCTTATACAGCTGCCCTATTTGTCCTACATATACATACATGTGTACATGTAATACTTCAATCCCTTGAGGCATGGTATCGATATTTATCGATATTTTGAAAATGGGAAAATATATCGAAATATGTTAATATGCTGGAATCTATGTATTTTACATTTCAAGTACCTAGCTTGTAAGTTTTATAGATTAAAGCGTACAGACACACAGAGACTGGTTGATGGACTCTTGAACTTCAACCTAATCAATAATATATAAATCAAAAAGAGTCGGTTATGACTTCTTCTGACTCTTCTACAGAGTACGTACTATAGTTATTTTCTAAAATCTTCGATATCGCTAAGAGCGTGCGGATGTTCACCCAAAAGAGCTGCCACTGTATTCAAATGCAAAGTGAGGTTAGGCGCAGAGTTGAGCTTAGAATTGTTAAACTTGCAAGTCAAACGTAAGCTTCAAAACACCAACTGCTCCTCCGAAGCCCAACGAAAGCGACTGCAATGAGCTGCACTTATGCAAGAGCGAGACGGACGCCAGGCAATCATTTTGTTTTAACTCCAAACAACAACACAGGAACATAATAAAAACGCTGAGTCAGCCGGCAGCAGCGCGAATACTCGAAACAAACATAAACAAACAGACTGACAAAACAAAATAAAATAAAAGGCAAGCAAAGAGCGTAACTAATTGACTTTCAGTTAGCCACAAGTGTCGAAGAGCGCGCCAACAGCTGTGCAATTGGCCGCTAAGAGAGCGGCACCCGTTAGTGTGTGGGAGAGAGAAAGAGAGAGAGAGACAGATCGTAAGAGAGGACAAGCAGCCGACGCAACGGCATTGCCAGCGGCAAAATCAAATGAAATTCAAAGTGCAGCGCAATTGTAGATCGACCAAAGCCAAGCAAGCACACACCGAGCCGGGCAACGACGGGTCGCTCAGTCTTCGCACAGACAGTCAGTCGATCGGTCGCCGGACGCGTCGATAGCCGCACGCTCGCAATTTGTCATACGTGAAAAGCGTATTCAATAGAACTTTGTCGCCGCAGTTTGCCGCAGTTCGCCGCAGCTGACAGTCATAGATCGCGCACGTTTTTGTTGTATTTGTTGTTTCGCTTGAAAAGTAAACAATAAATTAAATTCATTAAATTAAATAAATGCGCTGCGCTTAATTGAAGTGAATTGAAACTAAATGTGTTGCGATCGATTCCCCAGGCTTACAGACACTCAATTGATTGAAAATGTCGCGCACTTAACTGTCATTTACAATTATTGTGCAATCGTGTAAGGCTGACAAATATTTCAAAAGAAAAATAAATTAAAACAATACTTAACAAAGTGTTTACAGTCAAAAATGTGCGATTATTGCAGGCCATAAAGTGCATATATTTTGTTTTATGCTTACTTAAAGTCTTTGAGTAATATTTATTTTTGCCTAAAATAAGTTTCTATAATTAATACTATAATAAATGCTCGGTCAGTTGTTCAATTTGCCAATTGCCAAAATGTAAACAACGCCAACAAAACCCCAGCAACAATATGCAAATAAGCTTCGTATTGACAAAAGACTTTAAGAGAAAAAAAAACATAAAACAAATAAAAAATCAAATGAAAAAAATTATAATAAATCTGAGCAACTGCAGCAGCAGCAGCCGCTGCTTGACTCATGCCAGCCGGCTTCTCGGTATCTCAGCTCCTACAGCTGGTTAATTATTGTGAACCGGCGTCACCTGCCCGTCCGCCCCTTTGCCACCTTTGTTAAACGGCCGCAACCAGTTTTTCATTTCAATTTCCATTCAATTTCGCTCTTGCTGCTTCTTCTTCTTCTTACATATAAAGAAATATACAATATATATATATA